CTGAGTCCTGGCACTCACCGAGAGACACCACGATCTTCAACATGACCGTCGTGAACGGGATATTATCGATGAAGCTTGAGGCCAGAGCGGAGACCCATGTTACGATGAGGATGGCGGCGACCAAACGATATTTTTCGTGGACGGCGAGGATCATTACTTCAGTCTGCTCACCGATGAACTGCATGAGACCGAGTGCCGTCAGCGCTTCCATGACCACAAAGAGAGCCGCGAAGAACAGTAGTGTGGTCCATTCTACTTGTCCGAAGATCTTCTCGAGGTCGTCAGGGTCAGCGAGAACCAACAGCGTCATGGCTCCGAAAATCGCGATCCATCCTAGAACAAGGGCTCTCTCCATGAAGTCATATTCTATGAACATATATGTAGATTTTCCTCTGTATTAACTAAATGGATCGCTATTCATCAATCGTTTAAAGTGCGAATGCCGTCCTCACTTAGACTCACCTAGGCTCAATTTCACTAAGGGGGTCGACTGAAGGAAGAAGAGGAGGATGACCACACAGAGCACGATCACGCTCTTGATAAGCAACGGTCGGTTCCGTATCTTGTACTGCAATTCGAGAAAGTGATTACACCAAGGCCACATCTATTCCCGGTCTACCCCGTTTGGCGGCCCCATGTCATACGAAAAAGATTTCCACTAAGCGAATACTCACCTTGGACGAAAGATCCTCAAGTACTCGCTCGAAATCCAGGTCCGATGCATCGTTCGACTCTGATTGCGAGAGCTTCCTCCCGACATTTGAGAGCTCGAGGGATTCGCCTCGGGACTTGCCAAGCGATGAATGGATCGCTTGATGCCATGGGTCCGTTCCGCGCTGTCCGTCGACGACCTTCGGAAGAGGCAAGTCATATTTCCCTTCGTTCCCTGTTTGTGTCGCGCCATTTACGCCTGAAGACCCCTGCGGATCCATTGAGAGGAACATCGTTCTTACCTGTCGAGATTGCTTGCGCAGACTGCGGGGATCTCTGTACGCCACCCTCAGGAATACGTATACACCGAAAGCACTGAGGATTACACCAGGGAGTAAGTGTAAAATGGATGTGGTGAAGTTTATTCCGCCTGCAGAAGGAAAATATAACTTTGGTGGGAATGAGGCGTATCACCTATGATTAGGGCTAGGCGTTTGTGGCGGACTTTTTTCAGGAATATCGCGGACCTGTGGCGGATCTCCCCAGCAAAAATCGCGGACTTATGGCGGATGCTTTGTCGACGAATCGCGCTAAGTCGGGAAAAAGACAAGGGCAGCTTCATGGCTCCGAACAAGCAAAACGGAAGCTCATGCTTATGTTTGTCTGCTTTCGTCAATTTCCTTATGCTACCTCGGAGGCTTGAAGCTAGGACCAGAACTCACATTTCGTCACTGTTATGATTAAGCATATCGTACATGCTGAGATTCTTGCTTTTCATTCTCCGTCTAGTCGCGCATTTCCTGAAAGATCTCTCAGCCGAAACACTGTTGCCGGGTACACTCAGACAAGTCAGAGCGATCTTCGCCAATTCGGGAAGACGAGCCGTCGCATTTATCCACAAAACTATCGGATGAGACGAAGCCTCGAGTTTTCTCTTGGCCGACAAGTATAGTCGGAGTTCAGCCTTCCCCGGATCGTTATCCTCGAACTACAGTATATTTTCGATGACGTAGCCGGCTTCGATCTCGATTGTTTTCAACTTCGCGGGGTCGAATACGCGACAGGCGCGGAAGAAGTCCGCAGCGGATATGGATATCTCGCCATCGATGGTCCCCTTGAAATCTGTCGAACGGGATGCGGGGTCTGTCACGGGAGGAGTCAAACTGACCATGTTTATCCCGTGAAAAAAAACCGAAATTCGCGGAAGGTGGGCATTCCGGCCGAAAATCGCGGATTTCATGGCGGATGTGGCGGCCGCCACAAACGCCTAGCCCTACCTATGATTTATGCGTCATTCATACGGATAAAATATTCCTCCCTGCTCTAGTCGAGCGAGGGAACAGACGATGCAGACATCTCGCATCCTACCAATGAATTAGAAAAATGTGAACTCACTGGCCAACACTTTCAAGTTTGAAATGATGATGACATTTGGCGGGTCTCCGATGGGTGTAGCTGACCCTCCGACATTCGAGAACATGACCAACATGATGAGCACTTTTTTCGGGTCTAGGTCCATGACCTCACACAGCCTGAACGGGGGCGATTGGCAGAGGTTAGAAGGAATGCGACAACATTGGACTCGGGAGAAGCGAGATCTCGGCTGGGGAACGAGCCTGGCTGGATCTTCCAGGGTCGGTGCCGTCGAGAAATTGAGATGGGCCGGAAGTGATGACTCGCATCGAAGATTTTACCTGATGGTCACGGCTGTCAGCAGAAGCATGGTCGTCACGTTGTCCAAGAAAGCAGAAATGACAGCGGTGAAGATGCACAAAACCGTTATCATCGGCCATACCTTGCCCTTGGACAACCGGAATGCGAGAACGGCCACATAGTCGAAGAAGCCGGTCTCCCCGAAAATCCCGACGATGATCATCATGCCTGTGTTGTGGATTGTATTGATGTCGAATTAGATTCTCATGTTCATTCCCGGACTGCCAGAATAAGTCATTTCGCGTTTCTTGCCTCCGCAGGCAAAATCGAAGATATTTTTCCACCCACCGAATAGGAGACTCAAGGTTTCGATATCGAGCCATGAAACAACTTCATTGAGGTCGGGGCGTTTCCCGACCAGGGCTAAGCAGGAGATAGCCGCCGCCGCTCCTGTAGAAGGGAGGATCGTCGTCATTTCTGGCCTCGTTTCATCGAGCGAAGAGAGAGAGACATCGAAAGGGCCTGGAGACATCTGACGTTCGAATAGGCATCACACTTATCAGTGATAGATTTCGGTAAACTCACCGAGCATTGCCGCTATAGTTCGATGACACAGCTCGAAGATGATCAAGGCATAGAGGCCTACCAATACGGCTGCGGCCATGAAAATTGGACGGGGGGAGGACTTCCCGAGCTCCTTCCCCGATGCTTCCTCCGGCTCCGTGGTACTCATAACAATCTGCAAGAACATTCACAAGTTATCATATGACCGATATCTTCTTGCATGGACACATGCTCCTAGATCAGCGGGATCCGTGGGCGATCCGCGGAGTCCTATGAAAGTTTATGCTCATTTCTACCGAACTCAATGAGGAATTTAGATTTACATACCACAGTGAATACCATCACTGCAGTAAGGGAAGAAATTCGGAGAATTCTTCCCCAGTCCCTGTCCTGGTAGCGCTCCAGGTCCTCCCATCGGTATGAAGTCTCTCCACTGGGACGGGAGATTCTCCGATGCTGGCCACCTGCAATTACTGAGCTCCGTATCTTCGCAACGTATGTTCTTCTGTGTCTCGCAACATTCTCTGAATGGAGAGACCTCATATCGTACTGAAGAATGTAGGACTTGCCGAAGGCGTTCCTTACCGCTCTCGGCCAACAAGGGCGTCCTCTCTGAGAGATATATCTGATTCCTCGGAGTATCTGGCGGAGACGACATCGTTCCCTCTAAACTGAAATAAGGAAATTCGCCCAACACGTAATTCAATGTCGATCGTGTCGTATGGTCTCTCTGTTCAAAAGATTCTTACCTGGAGATGTCTTCGTATTCCTCCACGTAAATTCGACACTGTGAGGGAGCGTTATTCCTGATGGTCATTGTCGACGAGCACGAGGGGTCGCGTACAAGATTGGGTCTCGTTTGGGCATCTATTCGACAACTCTTCCGTCTTAAATCCGAGATTGAGTTGAGTCTCACTCGGTGCAATTAACTTTCTGGTGTCGAGAGTCGGAGGATAACTGAGACTGAAGGAAGACAGGCAACTGCTGCCACGCTCTATTGAAGAAGAACTCCTCTCTCCCCTCTCTCAGGAGAGTCGAGAAACACGAATACGAATGAGTCATACTGCGGCGAATACTCTGCCGTAACTTCGGGGACTCGGTGAGTTTTCATCGAAAATAGTTTCACGAAGTTCTTCGGCTTCCCGGCCGCGACATCGAAGGATTCTTCGAAGGTTACTTCGGGGAAAGATCCCCAGGGGACACAGAATCGTCAAGTGTGAGCACCTCCACCACTGAGCATTATCAATAAATAATCAGTGATATTCACCGGCGGAAAATTACAAGGGCGATATTGTCAACACCTTCGTATGAACGGGTGACGGGGTACTGAGGGGGGGAGGGGGTGCACAAAGCATTCAAATCAACTAGGTCCCTCGAAGCGAGGACCTTGGAGCTCCCGGATCTCAAAGAACATCCGCGATGAGTCACCGTCACTATCCCTCATCTCGCAGGCGGGACGACCATGCGGGATGCAGTTTTTCCGATCAGGTCCATTCGTCGATTCGGGACCGAGTTTGAGAGCTCATACCGACAGATAATTATTTTGACCCCGACGAAGTACGAAATCCGCAGAAGCATCTGGACGCGCCGAGCATCTTGCTTGATGCATGTGAACAGAGAGCCGATAGATGATGATCCACGTCACGGAAAGATGTGAGAGAACATGATCCAACATGATCCTGGTAAGAGTTTATCGCAGAAAGCGGGTCGCATTCTCGCGGTAACTTCGGGAGTCGATCTCTGGCCCCGGGGTGGCATATACGTACAGTGAGAGCTGACTCGAGGGACCACCTGAGTCGTCGGACCGTTTTCCCAAGAACCGATCGCGATGGAGGCCTATAGTTCGTTCACTGGACGCGTAATCGGACCGAGTTTCAAAAGAGAGAGCACATGCTGCTATGTACTGAGAACTGCATGCATGCATGCATGCATACACACATCCATCTTTTCATTGAATCCTGGCATAACACAGCCATAGCATATAGCAGTCCCCGCGGCCGGGAACTCACGGGGTAAGGAATCCTCATCGAATTTCTCTCGCGAATTCAGCTCGTCTGCTGCTTTTCACTAAGCGTCAACAAGTCCATCCCTTCGGGAGCCGTATGGAGCGAAACTTCACGACAGTCGACGCGATCTGCATCCCAAGTACTTGACGTTGACGCACCGAGCTTGTTGTGAGGCTTTCGTCGAACGTAATCAAACCCTTGGTATTGAGGAGAGCTACTCCATTCGTTATGAATTGCTCTCAGTGCTGTCTATCTGTGTAAGTTGCCTGCGGCAGATTGGCGAAGTTCTCTAAGAAGTGTCGTCCATGGTACTGACGGGATCTATGCGCAGCTGACGACCGGGAAGGCGCTCGAAGTTCGCTCGAGGACTCCCTCCGCCAACGATTTTCAATCTTCCTGGACTTTCGCGGCTCACCTCAACCGCGATTGACCGCGAGAGACTCAATCGAGGTGGACGGATTCGTATCTCAATTAGACGAACTCTCGTCCCTATCGATCAAAGATTGTGCGACGTACATCTGGTTCCGAATTCGGCTGATCCGAGCCATGCGGAGTTCGAGAGACATTTCTCCTTGACACCGGAGCAAACGAGGCCTCTCCGGAACTGATTCCCACCTCCGTAACGTATCATGATTGCGTCGCGCCGTTTTTCAGACGGCATCGGGGGACGAATCACTCGAGGACACATATGCGGCGGACCAGGTATCGGATCCGGCCATGTCAATAAGACAAGAGAAATTCCATCAGTCAAACTAGTAAATATGTTTGAAGTGTAAAATCCACCTTCAGAAAATTCTATTCAATGAATCGCGCAGGTCCACTCAGATTATCCTCTCGGCGTCGATCAAGCAGAGGAATGTAGCGCGGTAGGTTACACATTAGGTGTCCCGTAAGACCAGCGCACCTAACGAGACGGCGTGGCGTCAGAAAAAAGAGAGAAAACGAAGCAGTAGCTCTCTGACTACGGCCTCAGCCGTTACGCGCAGAGACTCGATCCCAGACCATTCAATGGTGTTGTTCCAGAGTGGACCTCGACTACCAACGTGAAAAATCGTGCTGTCCTTGTTCTAGCCCACGAACTCAGGTTCCCTCCACAACAGCATATCGCGCGAGCCTTGCAGGGGCATGACGGTGAGGATTCGACACCCTGAGAGTCAGCGTGAGGTGGGTGGAACCAATGGCATGCTCCCGGTTCGAGGAAATACTCTCATATAATCGATTGACAATGGGACGACGGGGACCATTCGTCGATTGGGAGAAATTCGAATCCGTTGACGGAGGGAGACCTGTTGCGGAGATTTGGGCACTTGCAGGGGGACTTCTTGCCAGGGAAAGCGAGCTTTATGTAGAATCCATGCTCCAATCTCCAGAATCCGCACGGGAGCGATCTCGGTGGTAATCGTTCTGCCTCCAGCAGAGATAATTCCGAACAGTGCGGATTTCAAGCGAGCATCTCACAATATCCATATCGCATCCGGCGGAAAGGATCTCTGCCTTAGAGAAAATTCACGGTCTGGAGTGGGCTCTCGGTTTATCGTTTTGGATTGTGGAGAAGTGCTTCCCGAAAATCACAGCCGGCCGAAAGAAATCATCCTTTGCGTCTCACAGATTGCGCTCGTCATTGTCCTTGCCTCGATGCTTCAATCGATTCTGTGGTGCGGGAGCTCGAAATAAGATTCCGGGACCGCAAAAACGAAGCTGGCGTAATGAATCCCGGGGTAGTTCAGAATGGAGGAGTAACCCCTTCACCAACTGGACTGATCGTACTGAGAATCCACGTGCCGACGCTTTCATCGTTGCCGCTCTGATTGCATGGAAGCTCTGACCACCGGCGAGTCCCTGTGAAGGGCTCGATGGAACTGTATAGAAAGCACAGGGATCCTATCTGCTCGATGGGCCTTGCATATGGATTTCCGGCTGGAGAACTCGACCAGTTCAGGGGTCATACTCTTTCTCGAGGCGTACTCGAGCAAATCGTACTTTCTCCTAGTCTTTCGAGCGACCAAGCTGTCGCCCTTCGTCTCTTCGACGTGCTCGTCGGTCATCCTCATCCCTCGAGAGCTGTAGCACTCGGACAGCTCGTCGCTCCAGCCTGGATCATCGATTCATTCAGCTTGCGTCCGGAAAACACCACATATCCTGAGTATTTTCTAACCCGTCCATAGTCCCTTGCACGAGGACGACCCCGCTCGGTACACCGTGCACGCCTTGATACAAGTACGGCGGGCGATCGAACACCGAAATAGGCGTCGATTCTCCTCTCGATTCATTGCGTGTGTCGAAACCGTCGTATCCCGCCTTTCCTGGTGATTTTCCGGCCTTATTCATAGGTGCTTGCCCGCCGATCTGAGTCCGGTGTAGGATATCCCAGATGCGGCGAGAGTGGAGTGGGAGTTACCGCAAGATCGCCGCCAATCGTCGTGTAGCCTGAATTTATTCGAGTTTGGATTTCTGAACGCTGAGAACAGCGCCTCCTCCGGAATCGATTGACCCAAGACTCGTCCCCTTTTCGCGATGGGAGGATGGAGGATGGAAGCTGGCTGTCGGGCGACCATCATCCACATTGAAATTGTGGGGACAGTGTCTTCAGTTGGCATTGGATATAGTGGTCTCATAAAATTTATTTTCCGTGATTATATACAGAGATGATTCGACAGCTTCGTAGAAGGTTCGAAGAATGGAGCCCGAGATTTCCAAATGTTGAACGCGGAAATTGGGAACGAAGGAGATATGCTGCGATATCTCCACTAGGACTTCTTCGAGGATGCGTCTTGTACACTCCTATGAAGTTTATCCACGTCCTTTCGGAGGAGATCTTTGCGGAGCGTGCCCTCACTATCGAACCAGGACGCGATGGATTTTTCCAAGCAGACTCTTGCCGATTTCTTTGATTTGTCGCCTTCGGTGTGCATCGAGAGTTCGAGCTTGTAAATGTCATCAAATCGCTCGAGCTGGGATCGGGCTTTGAATACTTTGGCGGGTTCCAAGCCGACTTCATCCTATGGAGGGAGGAAAGGAGCAACATATTACTTTTGAAGAAAAAAACAAGATCATTCTCTCAGGCACGCAGGGTCAGTAACCGATGAGCAGTCCTTGTACGTTCCCATTACCCTGGACGGTTCCCCGGACGTACCTTTTTCTTCGCAACAACAAATACACCCTTCTCGATGAACTTCGTGTACAGGGTTAGGGCGCCCATGAGGAGGAAGTAGGAGACGACGCAGAGAACAAGCACCTCTCTCGATGCGGGGAACGGATGCCACCAATCCCAGAGTAGAGCCCATCCGGCGGCACCGACCGCGAGCAGTGAGATGAATAGACGTCCATCGGGCAATTGGAAATTCTCTTCATATTTGTATTCCTTGGTCAGAATTTGACGAATTTCATCGTCGAGAGCGTTGCGTACAGCTGCGCCGTCCCATTTTTCAACTGTAATAATGAAGATCGGGATTCAGCTGCAACTCACAATCGAAGGGATGGGAGACCATGTATTCGCTTGAAGAGCCGATCGGAGGAAACGATCACATGAAATCGGCGCTTCGCGCAGTATTGTCCTTGTGAATCTGACATTCCATCGATCTAAAAAAGCTTCGGAGCTGGCAGTTCTCAGCGCTTCGTATGGCCGCCTTCCATCGCGATGTCTCTCGGAGACCGAGGGGGCATCACGTCAACCGATGAGCAATGGTCCGGATGTAGTTTCTACCTACTTCTTGTCATCAAGCGTTGAGGCATAACCAGGCTTGCGGATTTTGAGCAAGTCCGGCCGGGGGACTTCAAAATCAATCACGAAGACTTCGCCTCGAGGAATCATGGGCTTGAGGTAGTCGTCGGGAGCTCGTAGAGTCTCCTCGGCATATGACGATGTCGCCTCATGCCGCAGCTGTCAAGCTCGAAATCAGCGCAGTTCGAGACTCGAGATCTTACGCAGATTCCAAGAGCCTTCACGGTGAATCCCGATCTTAATCGAGGAGTCCGCCATGCAACGACGGGTCCCCCTAAGCCAGCGGTGCCAACATCCAAAACTTCGAACGTCCGAACAATTCTGTCTCCGATAATAATATGTACCAGCAGAACTCGAGCACTGGATCGGGCGCGTATCGCTTACCTTTGACTGGTTCTTGTGGATCCGCTTGACACATCCTGCAACGGTTACAACTGCCTGACTTAGAAAAGTGACGTGTCAAATACAACTGAAACTGCCAACTGCCTGCTCTGAATCCACAACAGCAGAGCGGCGACGTGTGGTACCGCCGGCTTCCTGGTGGTTCTTTCTCTCTTCAGGAGAGCTGGCCGTGTTTCTCGATCACGATGATCTTGTTGGGAGAGGGGCAGCCCCGCGGCAGATCTGTTCGGTACATCAGAAGCGCATTCATCGAGTCTAACTTGAGTCAGAGAAACTCGATCTCCGCGATGGCATACCGGAGATATGTACTCCCCGAGAGAAGCGAGCCTCTCCGATGCAAGGCTGTCGATATCGATCAACACGATGTACCATATTCAGTAATCATTGCTCATGCTTTTGCCAACAACAATAGACAGCTGATGGTCCAGCTGATCACAGTGCTCACAGTCAGTGAGACTGCGGGCAGCGAACATCACGCGCCATCAGCAGAGAACCGACTCAGTCGAGCTGCTGAAGGACGGTTGGAGGAGGCGAGACTCACAATGCAGTCATACAGGAAGTTCGGAGCGAGCTGGAACGCGCATTCCGGTGTCTCCATCGGAGAAAGCGCCCCATCCTCTTCGGAATTTGAGCAAAGATCATCAAAATCATCGCCTCCGTCTTCACCCTCCCGTCGCCGTCGTCTACTTTGACTTGATTGCTCTCCTCTCTGTACGGAACTTTCCATGGACCGACATGCTTTCGATGAGGTATACTTGACGTCCGAATTATAAGTCTGAACGTCAGGCACTACGCCGTGAAAGCCTATTTCGAGCCCGGGAAATGCAGTCGCGTGAAAATACTCAATAGCTGCGGTAGCAACAACAACAATGACCCTCCCCTCCTACTAAGCAGCAGCAGTGTCTGCTAGAGCGGTGTGGGACCGAGCGAGAGCTATAAGCAGCGGCGACGATCATCGGCTAGCAGCGAGCGAGCAGACAAACTGAGAACCGCTTTTTCGTAAATTAAAGCTTCGTTGATGAAACGGTCGAGGATCAGGACCGCGGCTCCCCCGTGCTCGTCAAACGATGAAATGCGAGGTTTGACGGTGTTGTTGCAACGCTTTGCCAGTAGTTCTAGGATTGTCCGGTCGCTCGAGCGACCATGCCACACCAGAGTGTATCGTCCAATGGTGAGATCCGATCAGACGAAGTTCTGAGAATTGACGATTTTGTCAATGAGATCTACGAAGATCTCCTGTTTTGGGTCACCGAGGGCGTCTGTTTCGAGCTGCACCACATGAGCCAGAATGGCATTTTGTTCGCGAAAGAAGAAACTCATCCGTACGCTCCGGTCGACGTGATAAATGAACCCGATTTGGACATTTTCGGTAAACAGGTGAAAATGTACGGTAACTATGAAACTACGTGTCCTTGCTGTCAGCGAACCATGGGCGCCGTGAGACTCGCCCCGCATCTGGAGAAGTGCATGGGCATGGGACGGATAAGTTCCCGAGTAGCAAGTCGGCGCATCGCAATAACGGAGAGATCCGACGAGCCTGCCACGGCCGAAGACGAAGCCGACGATGACTGGAGTTGGGAGCGCCGACGGAAAAAGAAGGACCGGAACTCTCCCGGAAGATCATCGAGGAAAAAACACAGACGTCCGCTGAAAACTCAGGAGCGTAAAGATAAGCGGACAACAGCGATGATGACGCCGACGACAACAACTACAGTGCCGGTAACGACGACGACGACGGCACCTCCGACAAAAGATGAAATTATCGACGTCGATAGTTTGGAAGGTAATCTTGGAAACCTGTCCTACCTCGACAGTAATCCGGACTCGAGCCAGGCGACGAGCTCGCAGATGGAAGATTAGGGAAATTCCAACGCCGTGTTCGCTGTGGAAGCACCTAAGTATAGTCTCATCGTTTCCGGAGGCTTTTGACGGTGCTACACAGGATTCGATATGATTTTTCGGCTCTCGATTTCCGATCGCGTTATTGCATCGGACGGTGCCCGAGATCTGTGTTGATGATGATTCCGATTCCGGAGTTCGATGCGGGTCACGAAGCTCCGAGTCGCGTGAGAGAGGCTCCGACTGATTCCTCGATCGGTCCTAGAAGCTGCTCGGGCTTCCAGAAATCGCTTGTGGGACGGTATGAATGTTGGGGCCGAGCACCAGAGAGCGCTCATTCAAAGCTGCGATTAGAGCTCCACGAGGAACCACAAACGAGGTTGTACGGTCCCGTGGAAGTTCGTTGCCCATGTTCCTGCTGCTCGCCAGATTTGCGTGCAGCTTGCGATCGAGAATGCTCGTTCGGTGATCGTCCGCTCGCTCTGGCTCCATGAGCCAGGGCTTGGAGCTGATTTATGGTCTCTCTTGGTGGCACAATACGTCATGTCTGAATCTATCATACATTGTGATTCGTACATACTTAGATACTTACTTACATAGCCTCATCCAACTCGACGAAGCTGATGTCGATGATTATTTTCTTATCGCTCCATTTACAAAGTGGTCCCCCATCATTGCCCGCGACTCCATCGGGCTTGAGATATGAGGATTTTGAAGAAGACGTGATGATGCGATGATGAGTTCGACCGGAACCATCCTGATTTAGCCATGCCTTCAGTGATCGCAGTAGCTGTGATTGAGAATACACTTGTAGAAAAGCGTGACCGAATGTGGATGCTGCTAGTTGATTTGGACCTTCACGCCAATCGAAAAGACTAGCACTCTCACTTTCACTAGCGGCAAATCATGTACAGGATCATCGATAGGAAACTGTAAAATAGGGGGAAAAATAGCGAATGTGACCGATAAATCTAACGAATGATGAATTCCGTTAACTCTTCGCGCTTGCGTCGGAGTATAGGGGACACGAGATCGTAGCGGGCCTCCATCGAATCCCCGGAGTGGAACGCGCGCTATGCGAAGGGTTGATGGGAGATCCCTATCGACCAAAGCACTGTAAAAAACATTGAGTCTGTAAATGAGGGACGAGAAGGACGAATGCAGTTGAATGTTTCGAATCGAATGATATGCCAGCTTTTTCTGTCATTCGCAGTCGAGTAGGAGAGAGATGCGTCCTGCTATGGAAGACTGCTACGTTAAAAACGAATATGTACGAAGAAGAAAACGTCGGTTTCTGGACTGATTATGATGCTGCCACACGGATACTGTATAAACTTCATGTCATCAATGAGTGTAACTAGAGTTTTCGGATGCTAATTGTGTGACGATTGGGGGAATAAAAGCGAGACCTGTCACCCTCAAATGGTTCGTTCTCCTGGTGCGAATTTCTCTCGTTAACTTAGGAGTCCAACGACTTATCTTGCGTATGCCGAGTTTTTCCGCCGTAGCGTGACTCGTTCAACTCAGGTGGACGGAAGGCCATGCTAAGCTAGCAGCTGGGAAAACGGTGCTGGCGTGGGCAAGAGATTAATAATTGATTGCATATTCCTGAGCAAACAGATATCCGAGTGCATGGTGCATGCCCAAGCCTCGGATATCAGGTGAGGGTATCCCCTGGATATACCGGCACTCACATCACCGGTCAGCGAGATGGCGTCCAGTTAGGAGTCCAACATAGATGGAGGAACGGGTTGAGATTCCATGGGATCGTGGATCCTAATCAATCCAAATCAGGACATCATTGAGAAGGTAGGAGAGGTCTATCCATTCCCAGGGCAGAGATCGACAATGTTTGCCGCCCCATAGATCAGAACGGCGATAAGAGTCTTCTCGTCGGCGAATTTCGCTCCTCGACCCATGCTCCTTGAGGGCGACGAATATTCAAAAGGGAACTCATGATATGTCCTGCGCAATTCTCGTGCCTGAGCCACGTTCTGCTGCCCGGAATCGAGATTCAAAGTGTTCGATTATGAAATGAAGATCTTAGATCAGGCTTAACTTAGCAAAACGATGGTTGCAGTTTCATTATGCTGGAGGACCTGCTGAAGCGCTCGAGAGCGGATCGGAAAAATTACCCGAGCTGGAGCTCATCGTGCGGTTCCATGGTCAGACTTATGTAGTCTATTCACTCCGCTTCTCGGACCGGAAGATCTTTTTTAATGTATCCACGGATGGATGGATGCCCCGTCTCGGCCGAATGGGGAATACGACATTCAAGATTCTGGAGAGCGAGAGGAAGATTGATTGAAAAAAAACAACAACTTCGATAATCCGCTGAAGCCGGAAGCCTCCTGAGTATCCACGGAGTTGAGGGATTAACCAGAACGAAGCAGGAACCAGCAGGCAGTCTCTCGAATCTTTCGGCGGTTGAAGTGGGATTCCAGCTTGTAAGCAAAGCGAAACTTTCGATCAGGATTATTCCGAGAGCAATAATTTGGGCCGGAAGACTAGATTCCCATCGAATATAACCAAGGCGTGGGCGTTCCTCATTCGCCGCGACCAACTCCTGGAATTGCGACAGCTCTCCGGCACGACTCCGAAAGCATCCTAAGTCAATGAGCAGCGCGGAAATCTCCCGTCATAGAGCCGGGCTCCAACGACACGCTCCAATACAGCGCTAGGATGTAAAACACGTGAGAACGATTTCCCCTGTCGAGCTCGACTCTCTCGACGATAACGAATGACGTCGATTGGGACGAACTTTACACCATTCGAAAACATCCCGAGAATTGTAGCGTACGCCCACGCTCCCCGGTAATAACTTCAGATGATCGGATCCAACGTGCCCTCTAATTCCATTCGGAAAGTTCATGTCCCCGCTCGTTGAGAGGAGTCAGACACGTGAGAAGAGCGAGGTTCAAGCCCTGAAGATGCTATCATCTGTAAAGCGATTTCATACTCTTCGTCGGATATAATGCGACGTTCAAACATTGGATCCACGGCGTAGACTTCATCGAATGAGCGACGAAGACGTTCTCGCTGAACCATGACCGTCCGAATTCCTTTGATGAGGAGTCCGGGGCTGGGAGACCTAAAACTCCTTCAGCGCGGATTGCATTGTTCGTGCGAGCTCCGAGATGATCCGTTTACGCTAGCTTCTCCGATGGAGCCTTGGCCTAATGAAGTTCCCTGCTCCCCCAAACAGGAGAAGACCAGGACACAATAAGAGCACCAAGTTCTCGGTTATCGAATTCCCTCGTACATCGGATCGTTTGTTCAGAGGAACATCCTAGCGCCGTATACCTTTTTCACTGGAGAACTACAATGGAACCTGAAGTTCTGAATAATTGTCGGGGAGGAAGATTCCAGCCGCGCGTTCAGGATTCAGAAGTAATCATGCGACATGACTCTGCACACGGCAAGATCAACGTCAACCACGGCCAACAGAAGCCCTTTTCCTGTGGATAGCGTCATCCGGATCGGATGTGGAGAATCAACGCCGGAAAGTAGCAGAGAGAAATTCAGCCATTCGGTGAAGTCCCAACTCCGACATCACATCGTAATCGGGGGTCTCGAAATTTTCGGAGACCCCCTGTGCCCCAAGAGCCTCCATCCTTCTGCTTCCTCCATACATAGGCAGAGGATGAGTGGCGAGGGGATGCTCTCGTGTACGACTTTGTGGTCTTCCTTTGTCTATCAGTTGTCTGGATTATTGGAATCGCTCCTTTATAGAGAGCTCCTCTCCCCAGCACAAGCCCCGCGGCAGGATCATCGGAGAATACGAGCGGGAGCCTTTATTCAGAGGTCATACGGCATCGCCTGCTGGAATCATTCCGGTTTTAGGATCGTGGTCCACAGAACTGTTCTCTCCTTCTCGACTGTCTTTTCTCCTCGGCTTTGGAAGATGAGGTTTGCGATTCGCCACAATTATGAGCATAGACGCCGGAGAGTCTAAAAGGTTCGTAACGACAACTTGATCGCTCGCACCTGGTGAGCTGAAGGTGAAGTCGCATCAAGAGGGATGTTCCCCTCCTTCTCTCGAGATTATTCCTCCCGCAAAAGAGTCAGCGATGAACTCTCCACCGAGCTTGGGATGACGTTTCCACCATCTTCCGCGCTAATGGAGCTGCCCACACAGGAGAGAGCTATGCTCACCGGTATCATAATTCGTTTCTCGAATACCCTGACTCCACGAACATTCGGACTAACGAGTAGCAAGGTCTTCCGCTGTCCATCGTGATGCGGATAAGATTCCCAGCTTTGAGATTTATAGATTCGAACGGGAACTCGAAGTTGCGTCTGGGTACAGCCCGCAAAAAAACGAGCCGATCAGGCCGAGATCACATCGAGCGGGATACCGACGCGGAGACATGGAGATGCTGTCCAAAGTTTCCGTGGATCACAACACAGCGGATTTCGAATACGGTGATTTCGTCGATAACAGCGCATTCAGTGTCCTACCGTCAAAGCATGGTTTTACCTCCCTGAGGTCCTGTTTTTTTATTTCCCCCCCGCATGCAGTTCCCGATTCTCCCAGGTACGACGTATTCTTCGTTCGGAAGTTCCCTCCGGGAGTTTCGCCGAAAAGTTCCAGTACAGAGCCCGCTTTCACCGGCTTCTCCAGGGGGGAAATCTGAATGGAAGAATCGGGGGGAGAAGAGGGAGGGTCATGGGGATCTAGTAAAACTTGGGATGAAGTTGGGACTGGGTCAGCAGAGTAGTAAGAGGACGACGGAAGGTGAGGGCTACCCCTCCTCCACAGAACGCGCTCTCCGGTGCGCGCGCAACGTGTTTAGCACCCGATAGGATTCCGAACAGGGCGAGCATCTCAGACGGTTTTGAGGTCTCTCGGCGTAGCCTGCGCATCGCTGGCCGCCGTCAAGCAGTTTTACGCGAGTGACAATCGTCTCTGAGTTCAGCACGAAAATGGTGAGCATTGAGTAGTATCTGACGTGGACTCAATCGGGATAAACTCTAAACGTCAAATGGATAGGCCCCGGGGCTGAAATGGTCCGTTCGAACGGCAGCAGAAACAACGGCGTCGGAGACTTTCGGATTGGGTCTGCCGCTGCGACCGCCAATCCCGCGGGAGAAATTAACCCGCGAAGAACAACATTCTGCTCCAACCAATAATCTTTCTCGCTGACGGAAGGATTCTGAACGATGCGAGAATGAATTTTCCTCGTATTTCTTCTCACACCATTTCGTCCTTTCAACGGTTTTCCGACTCCAAGCCGTGTTCGAGGGCTCCTTCTATGGTTCGGAATCGTGCACAGAATACCTGTACAGCGGATTCTGATGGAAGTGAGACGGAGTCGACCGGGGTTCCGATCCTGTCCTCTGGCTCTTGCTTCGAACATCTCGATGACTTCTCCTGCTACGGCGGAGCCAGAATCTCACACCAGGGTGCCTGAGAATACCACCTACCTACATTCCCTCGGTAATCGGGGAAGGTGGCGGCGGTGGAAGGGGGGTCCAACATGAGGCTTTTCGCCTGGCTCCTGGAGACGGCATCCGCTCGTGAGCATGATTGGAGTTGATATCTCGATCAAAGAGCCGTTCGAGAATATGATCGACCATGCTCGAAGACCCCCTCCAGATCACTATCGCCACCAATTGAGTTTAGAGGCCGAACCGACGACTCAGGCGCGGGAGGAAAAGTCTGCCAGGTTGGGAAGAGTTTCCACTTCTTCGAAGATGCCAGGATAACCTTTCAGATTTTGAATCAAACACCTGAATGTCACAGTAATCCCCGACTAGATCAAGGGTACTGTCATCGTCTGATGCCGACGGGAACAACTCATTCTCGCTGTGCGAAGGCGCTGCGGATCCCCAAACCAAGAATAGGCGGAAGCGATAGGCGCAGTTCCTCAGCCTACTCGAATCAGGGTGTCCGAGCTTATCTCCGCCTTGGATAGATGAGCTCCCCCCTTTCGGTGGACCTCGGATGCGAGACGCGGTTCTGAGACGAGCTGTCATCCCGTTTGGCCATGCTTTCGCGTTACACGGCGAGCCCGCTGTCTCTAGTGGGATCAAATGTTAGGCTGGCTTCTCTCATATCTGACAGCCGTTGGGAACACTCGCTGTTCCGTGTCTTTCGTTCCCCAGCTAATCGTTGCATTTTAGCAGAGGGCCAGCGGTCCACCATGAGGGCCTATCGTCTGCCGAACGCGCAACTTTTGCAATCCTCTCGGTGCGTCGGTCTACCGGAAGGTCTCGTAAGCATTCTGAGGGAGAGAAATTCAGGCAACTCAAGCGCTGAGTTGCGAAGGAACATTTCCACTCGGATGAAACTCCACGATCTCTCCTCTACAGTAATTCCACCAAGCGGCAGGGATCCGGGCCTTCGCAGATCCCGAGGGCGACAACCCTGATTCTGGAATGAGACACAAAAATGTCAGTAGGTATGGAGTTCGTTTGGTTCATCGAGGGTTCCACCTTAATTCCTTCGTCCATTTCAGATCTGTCCCCCGCCTGCGCCCCTAGTATGCTACGCCGATTGAGAGCTTCCGTGACAATCATGAAGTATGGCTGCGCCTGTCGCGCGTACAGGAATCTCTTCCCACTGGTCAAGCTGTCGTCGACTTCTGTTCAAACGAGCTCGTCTTCCACCGCACCGCAAATGTGCTTTCATTGATTTACCTCCATGTCCTTCCCCTCGCGCGACGAGCCCTGATCGGCACGCGGTGTTGCTGCTGAAGCCGTCGGTGTCGCGAAACGCGGGGACGGGTGCACAGAAACAAATCTCAACGCTCAAGAGAAGGGGCTCCTTTCATGTCCAGCTGGAGCAGCAATGCCAAAATTCTCTCGATTTCTCATCTTGTCTCTGTTGCTCGTGGGATCAGTGATTGGCGAACCGTCGACGTTCCAAAGTATAAAACTTCACCTCAACGAGGATCAAAGTGCTCAGAACAAATCATGGGCGTCATCATCACCGCCGACCGAAGATTCCCTTGGAGCCCCGTCGATCATCAGGAAAAAGCGGGACGCAGGACGTCACGGCTTCCCTCCCGCAGATCTCCCAGGAAGTTTCGATGAGAACTCCCTCGGAGGGGCGCATGGAGGCGCCCCGGGATCCGTTGAGCGATCCGTATCGGATCGCCACGTGGCCGAAAGCATCCCAAACATTCGCGATACTGTCGTGACGCATCGCAGGAGGAGGTCGCGGCATTTCGTTGACAGTTCAAAGCAAGTTCCTGTTGTAAAGTCTCTCCGAACTCCGGAACCTTCACCGCGGTCGACCACGACGGCATCTCCGGCGACCGCCGCCACGGCTCCGCTCGACGTGGTTACGTCACTGTATCCCACCGCATACGAAAAGCACACAATAAGCTACAGTAGCGATCATAGTTCTGTACCGCGAAAGTTCACACGGGGCTTCATTGAGAAGAGGGAGAAGCTTCGCCTAGCTGCCAGTACGGCATTAATGGATGGTGTCGACGTCGATGACGGCGACGACTCCACCACCGAATCATTCTCGACTGACGCTGTACAAAAGCGAGAGCAGGATCAGCTCAGGATGGCGGTGGACGGTAGCCAAGAGAACAGTGAGCAGAAGGAGAGCTCCAACGAGGGAAAAGAAAACGAAAGCGTCGGCTTTGAGGGGGTTCCACCTCATCTGGTCAGTGGTGAGCGGAACCTCGGCCGTCGGCAGCCGCTCGTCATCACCAGAAGTGAACCCACGAGAATAGTATCTGCTGAAGTGTTACACACCGATCAAAGTTCTCTGATTTCTAGTTTCGAAGTTTTCTCCGATATGTTCCTCCCTTCGGTTCAGAGCCCGCGGGTGTTTCGAGTAGTGGATGAGGATTTCTTACGAGCACTTCCAATCATCGTGTCGTCACAACAACGGAACCGGGAACAGTTGAAGCATAATTGTACAATGCTGCTCGACTCGGGATATTTACCAACAGGTCCCGAAACCTTTGCCGGTGAGTTGGTGCTGCTCGGCGTTAATCGAGCGTCTCATTAAAGCTGCCTTATTCCTCGCGTCAATTATTTCCTCGACAGCGGATCACGTCGAGTGCTTGACGTCACTCGATACTTCTCCGGAAAGGTCTCCCCCGGCCAGTCGGAATCGATCGACAGCTGGCATGTCGCAGAAGTCTGATTGAAATCCCGGGCCAGAATACCGGAGAAATTTCGATTGGCGTCCCGACCTTGTGTGGGAACTCGACCAAAGCTGATTGATATTTCGAATGAGAACAAATATTGTGGTTACTTCCGCCGAGAACGCGACGAGGAAAATTCCCCATCGAGGATTTGATTAGACTTCCGGCTAAGGAATTACGTCGCGGAATTGGATTCTTCGGCTCAGCGTCTCGATCGATGTCGATTTTCCTGTAGCGATCTCTCAATTATAACTCGGGCTTTATTTCCGCGGGAAAAATAACGCTATGTCTGCGAAATGAGCAGAAGAAAAACTGTAAACGATCTTGATGAGGTCGACGTATCGGTTTCAGAATGATTGGGGGAAGGCACGAGAAATCACGTGAGGGACGGAAGTATCGGAAGTCTCGAAGCTCTGCAAAAAATTCAGTGACCACCAGCGCGCAAAAGCACCAATACACCGGAAACTTGAGCGATCTTTCAAGCTGGCGGCGACTCGGGAAATTCGCTGAGGGGCTCGAATCGGGTTGGGTGTACCGAAACTATGTATCGACTAATTGCTTTCCTTTTCGAATTTCAGTTCTCGGACGGTGGGGAGTTCTATTGTGTTGCATGGAGACGGGCATGGTGCTCTGTACACTGGCGATTTTCTCCAGAGAATGTCTGTACCTGTTCCGGCATTGGCCTCCAGAGACAGCGACACTTTCGTGCGCAGCGCTATCGGTTTTCCCGTTCACGTCGATATGTGCATTGACAGCTGCGATATTCCCGCATATGTACGATGTGGCCAGCGCGCTCGTGATGTTGTGAGTTTTAGGGAGGATAAGCGTTCCCATTAGATAAGATCGCATACCCAATGAAGGATCGTAGCTCCGAGAGCTCAGCGTGCAAAAACCCACCGCTCCAGAGAGCTAGCCAAGTGAACACCCTCCTGATATTAGAGACGCTTCAATGAACGCTGAGACTCTCTTCATTTCGAGATTTCATATAAAGGTGATATTTGTGGGGGGGAGAAGTCCCAAGCGTTCTTTTTCACGGGGTCCTCTGGCGATCCCCCTCCCTCTTCTCGGAAGATGGAGAGGGGTCGGACCGGAAAGTTCAGTGGGGCTCCCTGGGTCGGTCCGCGACCCGCTGGCCGGTCCAGAATTTTCAGAGGAGGAGCAAGTCAACGCATTGGGTCATCAGGCGA